GCACAAATCGATTCACTGCATTATAACTGAAACCTGGTGTTTCAATCAGGGGGTCTTTTGACCATATGAATTTCACTTTGTGCTTATACACATTGGCATAATCATTATGGTGGCAAAGAAAAGATACATCTCAGCCACAGTGCCTCCTTCCTCTGGTTGTAGACGTGATTTTGGTGAAAGTAATGTGTTTGCCATGGTGTACTCGTAGTAATGTGGTTGCTTTCCATGACAATTCTTTTTATCAGTGTTCGTCAAAGAATAACTCGAAACCTTCCAGTTCAGTGGCATTGTTCCCAAGTGCACAAGTGGCCGTATTCCACATTGGCTGTCATCAAACTGTGGGGATTTGGAACAAAATTGACAGCTTCCCTGCCAATCCCAGGTGCGGTCTGTGGTGGTACTGGACAATGAACAGGTGGTTTGGGTTGTGGAGTTGTGGTTGTGGAGGTTGTGGTTTGTGAGCTGGTGTGGTGGTGAGTGGGGGATGGTGGGCTTGTTCTAGATCATCTGAGGCAGCGCTGTGGGTGGCATCAGGGTGGCAGCATGGCCCACTGCTGGTGCCCTCACCGCCGCACCACTACCACCACGCACATTTTCCCCACCCATTGCAACAGTATCTTCGCATCTTCAACTGTCTTTCTGTTGTACAGCCACGGGATGTACTCCGAGATACACTCTTCCCCTTGGTATAACAAATGGCACACTACCAGAGCGCAAATAAACGTCGTATATACCGACGCTTCACTGGGAAAATTGCACTTCACTATCACTACAGGAACTAGTTTTTTGAAGACTTGTAGTTCATATCACTATCACTATCAACACCCATGCCTCATCTGATCTGGGATTTGGGAAAATAGAAGTTTCCTCTTCGGTTCATGAACAAACTGAAACGTGAACAAGAGGGCCCCAGCAACCAGAGTTGAAGGGCTGAGGGTCGTCCTGGTTTTCCTCACATTACTGCTATTATGATGTCATTATTTTTCGTCAAAACCTCACTAAACCACGAAAACCTTCATCTTCACTGGCACTTCCATCACTATTAAACTGTCACTGGGAACAAAAGTGTCCCATTCAACCGAGGAGTAAGGACCTTCTTACTGCGAGGCATGGTGGGACATTGTTTACTAAGAGGGCATTCCCACAATGCACCACTGGATCCCACAGATTTTTTTTCTACCGCGCAACACCGACCATGAGACCATTCTCTCTCACCTAGGCCTACCAGCCTTTTCGCGCGAGATTTGAGGCCGCTAGAATTTATGCGTACTAGTACGTCAAAAACCCCTACGCATAAGGACGTACTAGTAACAACCAAACCCTCAAAGGTTAAAGACACACATCAACAACCGGCCACTTGATACTGGAGTTCTGGCCAGGGAGTGTCCTTGATCCCCTGCTCTTTCTTTCATATATATCACTGATCTTCCAAACGTCATCCCAACACCTGAACCCATCCTCTTTGCTGACGGACAACGACTTATGTCACTTCACCCTAATCTTGCCACCCTCAACACCATTGTTAACGAGGAGCTGATCAAAATTTTCGACTTGGATGACAGCCAATAAACTTACGCTTAACACTGACAAAACCTACTATATTATGTTTGGTAGCAGAGCAGGAGATGCACAAATTATCATTAGAACGACAACACTCTAGTTACCAGACATAATGAGGGCAAATTCCTAGGCCTATACCTTTGACAACAACCTGAAATTTCAGCACCCATATCCAACACATACCAAAAAGTATCCAAAATGGTTGGGATCCTTCTCCAAGATACGATACTACGTGCCGCAAAATGCCCCTTCTCCAACACTATACCACTCACTTTTTATCCATACCTCACCTTTCATTTGTGCTTGGGGATAAAAATAAATAACTGCAGCCACACACCTAAAGCCAATAATACCCAACCAAAAAGTTGCAGTAAGAATAATCACTAAATCCCATCCCTGGCAACACACCCCCCCACTCTTCATAGATCTAAACTTACTCCCTGTTCAGTACATCCACACTTACTATGTGCAATCTACATCTCAGGACCTTAAACTCCATATCAACCATGACCTAAAATGCTTTCTTGATAGTTGTGACAGAACCCACAGGCATAACACCAGACACAAACATCTCTACGACATTCCCCGTGTCCGACTAAACCTTTACAAAAATTCAATGTAGTGTAAAGCACCCTTCTGGCAAGACAGTGATGGAGTGAATGATGGTGAAAGTTTTTCTTTTTCGGGCCACCCTGCCTTGGTGGGAATCGGCCAGTGTGATAAAAAAAAAAAAATCAAGGGCCCTAAAATCTGGAACACCCTACCTGAGAACTCTAGAACTGCAGACACATTCATCACCTTCAAAACTACCATTAGAAAACATCTTATCTCCCTGATACACCCCGTCAACTAACTACACGAATACCACCTGGTGGTTCACACTTACACTCACTCACCCATTTGACCATAAACAGAAATATTAATCTCAATCTTAAAATAATGAATCCTGTGATACTCCAATACTGAAACTATGTACTGTGCCAAAACAAAAGCATTCACATTGCTAAACTCTCAAACTAGTATTTAGTCATTTAGCCATAATACCAACTTACCTAATAATTTGTAATATTTTAAAATTAAGAATTAAACTAAGTCTGCCCGAAATGCCTAACCATGCTAGGTGTTCTAGTGGTACACTCTGTAATCATTATTTTACTACATGTAAACCACACAATAACTAAATTCTGTAAACTCAGCATTGTAATCCTTATAGAGAATAAACTTTGAATTTGAATTGAATTGAATTGAATAGAATTGAAGGTCCAAGATTGTTCAGTTGCCTCCCAGCATACATAAGGGGGATTACCAATAGACCCCTGGTTGTCTTCAAGAAGGCACTGGACAGGCACCTAAAGTCAGTACCTGACCAACTGGGCTGTGGTTCATATGTCAGCTTGTGTGCAGCCAGCAGTAACAGCCTGGTTGAACAGACCCTGATCCACCATGTGGCCTGATCTCAGACCGGGCTGCGGGGGCATTGACCCCCGAAAACCTCTCCAGGTAAACTCATATTGATGTGTGCTGTTGTTAATGTGTACACTCATGTTGATGCTGTGTGCTGTTGTTAATGTGCACACTCATGTTAATTTTGTGTGTTGTTGTTAATGTGTAGACTCTAATAACGATACTATCTCTATTTCAACAAGTACAGTAGATCCATATATAGTGGGACCTCTTCTTACGAGTGCTCCCACGTGTGAGTTTTTCCAGATGCAAGCAGTTGCTCTGTTGATTTTTTGCTTCCAGACACGAGCGAAATTTCCAGATGTGAGCGGGACTCGAGGGAGGTTCCTTGACACTGGTAAGGGGCCCTTGCTTTTGATCTAGGGAATTGGATCTCATTTGTTTCTTGGACTATCTTATTGAAACTTGGACAATGTATGATGGAAAGATGTGTCTTAACCCTTTCAGGGTTGGTGTCATACTAGTACGGCTTACATGCCAGGGTTGGTGCCGTATTAGCATGCGTAAATTCTAGCGCCTTCAAATCTGGCTAGAGAAAGCTGGCAGGCCTACATATGAAAGAATGGGTCTACATGGTCAGTGTGTGCATTACAAAAAAATCTTGAAGCACACAGTGCATAATGAGAAGAAAAAATACTCTGTTTTTGGTTTAAAACAGCAAATTTGTAGTGTATTTTTGTATGGTATTTATGGTTGTATTCTCATTTTCTTTGTCTCAGTTGACAGAATGGAAGACATATTATGGAAATATAGATGATTTTGATTGCTGTCACAATGAAATGTACCTTGAAATTGAGCTCAAAGATGTGGAAATGTTCGATTTTTGCCGATGTTCAATTGTAAACAAATCATGCCACACATCCAGTACACGTCAATTGGTAAGCCTGATATTCTTTCACAAGTGCACCGATATTATTTACACCATTTTTACAATGATGCAGTAGTCTGCATAACAGTAACTCTTCTGTTTTTTGTGAGAATATAAAATCAAAGTGGAAAGCAAAAGAAATGGAAGAGGGGCCTGGAGATGTGACTAATGAACAGAGAAAATGTTTTTTTAGTGCCAGGAATGTCTGTCTTGTTTATTCTAGACCTTATTTTAAAGTTGGCATCTTTTGAAATTTGCATAAAATTGGCCATATTGCCAATTTCTGACCACTTTATTGGTAGTTGAAATTTGTAAATGTGTGGTTTCCTGTACTCATTTGATAGAATGAATGGAGTTTCAGCAAAACAGCTATGAGTTTTGTTGACTGGTACATTGGAATTGGCTGAAAATAGGGCTCAAAGTGGGTGAATCGCCGATGTATAAACATCGTCGAGACTGCTGACTTTGCGAAAGCATAATTCCATAAGTTCTCCATCAAATTTCAAACTTTTGGTGTCATTTTGATCATAAGAATTTTTTTTTTTTTTTTAATTTTTGACCCTGAAAGAA